AGGCGGGCCCAGGACGGGGCCGATCATGTACTTCGCCTACCTCCTCGATGCCGAAGGATGGCAGAGGAAGGAAGGCGCTCTTGACCCTGGTCCCCTTCTCAGAGCTGTGGGAATGGCAAAGTTGACGCGTCGACGCTCCCTGACATCTCGCGACTGGGTCTCACACTGAAAAGGAAAACAAGGTGAACGAGCGATTTGGAAGGTATTGTTATTCGGCCAACGGGCCGCGGCCCCGACATTACGCTGAAGTCGCGGAGCGGAGCCCAGGCGGAGCCGATACGATCTTGTCTTTATCGTCGACCATCGAGCTCACCGCCCGCGCCGTCGACAAAAATGCCAGTCTCACGCAGAGGATCCGGCTCTGTTACGCTGCCTTCGGGCCAAAGCCTCACCGTCCACCACCGCACTACCGAGGTCGGCGGCGAGGACCTCCCTCACGCGACGAAGAAGACGATGGCGGACCACCTGCGCAAATACGAGTCACTGTTCACGCTCACGCCTCAGCGCATGCGGATGATTGTGGACGCATTTCAGGTGCGTGGGCATGCGAGACTTGCGCAGGGGGTGTTAACCAGCGCCGAAGGATACGCTCGACCTTGGCCTCAAGCAGCCGGGTCAGGTCGTGCCTATGATCCCTACTTACGTCTTCGGGTGGCCCACCGGAGAGGTGCGTACATAATCTTGGTTTTACTCAACTATCCCTCACAATCACTTAGGAGTCGGGCGACTTCCTCGCCCTCGATCTCGGGGGAACCAACCTGCGTGTCTGCCTCGTCACCCTCAAGGGCAGCGGACAGTTCGAGATCACGCAGTCCAAGTACCGCCTCACTGAGGAGCAGAAGCAGGGCGACGGGCAGGCCCTGTTTGACTTCTGCGCAGAGTGCCTGCGCACGTTCATCGAGGCCAACTTCGACGAGACCGAGCGCCAGAAGGGTATCGACCTGCCCCTCGGCTTCACCTTCAGCTACCCGTGCAGCCAGGTGAGCTCAAACCCTGCACACCGTCACACAAGCTGACATCCCTATAGGAGCGCATCGATCACGGTGAACTCATTCGCTGGACCAAGGTGGACCGCAAATACGAACGGTCGTGACATTCGGGACTGAACTCGATGCAGGGTTTCGGCGCAGCGAACACGGAAGGCCGCGATGTTGCAGCTATGTTCAAGGAGAGCCTGGCCAAATATGTGCGTCTTCCCGTGCCTTTCACGCGCGCATCTGGCTCATTTCGTCGAAGGAACTGCCCATCACTCTCACCGCACTCATCAACGATACTACAGGAACGCTCATCGCTAGCCATTACGTCGACCCATCGAGGTGTGTCGTCGATTGGCGCTATGCTTCCGTCTTCGTGGCCTTGTGCAGAATCTTTTCTGCATCTTGATTTACTGACCGTATCCCTAGTAAGATTGCTGTAATCTTTGGCACGGGATGTAACGCTGCCTACATGGAGAACATTGGGTCGATCGAGAAGCTCAAGGTCAGTCTGAGCCGACGGCGAGCCTATCGATCTACATAGATCTGTTGACCATACGCTTCTCTTGCTCACGCGGCCTGTCATACAACGTCGTATACTGACCACCCTCTGTAGGACCTCAATCTCCCCACCGACGCACAGATGGCGATCAACTGCGAGTGGGGCGCTTTTGACAGCTTCCAGCATGAGCACTTACCGCGTACAAAGTGAGTCCTGCCTCATAGACACAATTGAGTGCGCCCTGAGCTGCACGCCTTGGAGGGCGCCTTGGGCTGCACGACGAGGGGCAATTGATCATGCCAGGAGCGTGGATACGTTGGGACCTCGTGGTGCTTCCGCCTCCTTCTGGCGGAGATCCCCACACGCCGTTCTCTGCCTGGCGCTTGCTGCATCGAGCGCCGGTGACGCATATATCTAAGACGAGCGCTAGAGACCTCAGAGCGGCAACTGACATCTGCCTAGGTACGACCAGATTGTCGACGAGACGAGCAATAAGCCGCAGGAGCAGGCATTTGAGGTGCGTGACACTACGACGCCTCTACTCCTTCCGGAATCGCGGCCTCGAATGGTCGGTGACATCTCTCATCGCAGAAACTCATCTCTGGCCGCTATCTCGGCGAGATCATGCGACTGGTCATCTGCGAGCTCATCGACGACGGTGTCCTTTTCCTCGGTCAGGAGACGTGCGTATTCCATATCCTTCACGTTTCCTATCGCCTAGTCAACTCTCGACGTACGATCGGCTGACAATTCTCTCAGTTACAAGCTCGAGTCTCCCTATGTGTTCGAGACGGCGTTCTTGAGCTTGATGGAGAGGTACGCGGAGCTGGGAATCCTTATGCCTGTTGGTTTGTTTTGACAGGCTACTATATTCCCGCAGTGATCCGACGGACGAGCTGCTGATGATCATTGGCATTTTCTCGCACTTTTTCGCGGTAGAGACGACGCTCGCTGAGCGTCAGTTCTTCCGCGCTTTGGCGCGCTTGATCGGTGAGTCTTCAGTGCCCGTATTTGTTTAATATTCTTGACTGGTTTCACTCGCTAGGCCGCCGCGCTGCACGGCTGTCTGCCTGTGGTATCGCGGCCATCGTAAGCAAGATGAAGTACCTGGAGAACCTCAAGGAGGGCGAAATTATTGGCGTTGGTGCCGATGGGAGTCTGTACAACGTGAGTGGTTTCAAGCTCAAACAGTTATATACATCCTGACGGCCATCTTTCTCTGAAGAAATACCCGGGCTTCGCGGACCGGGTGCACGAGGGTCTCATTGACGTCTTCGGTGACAAGGGAAAGTGCGTACTAACACTCTTTTACTGGATGTTGTAACCGCTGTATGTCAGACCGAACGCTTACATGTTCTGTCTGCAGGTCGATTGTCACCCATCACGCCGAGGACGGAAGCGGTGTGGGCAGCGCCATCATTGCGGGTGAGTTATCGTTCTACCTCTCGCGGTCGTCTCTGCGACGCGCCTTCATCTCTCTGCCACCCTCGCTACTTTGCCATATGGCTGACTATGGCACCAGCCATGACCAAGATCAGGAAGGACAGGGGTCTCTACGAGCACGTGTAGAGTGTGCGGAGTCCGGCGCCTGTCCTCGCGATTCGGAAGACTATTGCGCTCCAGCTTCGAGGACAGTGTTCCGAGGGCGGCGCTTCCTCGGGGTAAGTCATAGACCATGGTAGCGAATGCGCCTCTGGACGATACCAAATTTCGGACGATAACAAATGTACACGTATAGTGCCGCCTCGGAGTGGCACCTAACTTCTACTTTATACTCTTAGACGAGCGGTGCAGCATGTATTGACGATGTTGTACTCAGCGAATAGCAACTGCATGACCGACTTCTGGGGTGTGCTGGCGCTCCTGCATCGCGAATAACTCGAATGCATGAGTTGCAGGGGATCCGCCCATGGTGCAAAAGAGCAGAACTTCGACACCACTGACCAGCAAGGTTTTGCGGAGAGAGATGTGTCCATACTCGTCCGTCCAGACCTCTTTTATGCCCACAGGCCGTGGATGAGACCTATTGGTATGCTATAACGTAGCTGGTTGGTAATCCCGGACTCAAGTCTTCTTTGGCCACACGAGGACTCAGCCAAGAGCTAAGCCTAAAGAGTTCCATTGTCTCCACTTCTCGCCCATTTCGCATACTTACGTGCTAGAATATCTGAGGCTCACAAAACTGCATGATTGTCCAGGTGAGCATCCAAACAAACAATACACCGGGTTCCGTGGCGAGAGGCGCCTTCGAGTGATGTCCGTGACTGTCGAAGCAAAGTGTCCGAACTTTCGTGGACATCAATATCACAAGCACGCAAAATCGCGGAGGCTTTTTTGACCTTCCATATATGGAAGGTAAGTCGCGTGCGCACACGTGTAGGGGCTTGATCCGAATCTACGACTTCTGTGGTTCGCCGGACATCCTGCATCGCAAGTAACGCTCGAATGTACCAGTTGCAGGGTATTCAGAGATGGCTCAAAAAGAGTAAAACTTCGACACAAGCAGGGTTCGAACCTACGTCCCCGATTATCGTGTAGGTTCGGACCCGCTGGCTCTGGGGCCCACGCAGGGGGCCCCAGAGCCAGGGGGCCGACGAGCGGGAGCGAGGGGGCCCCCGACGATCTTTCGCGAAGCGATGTGCGAGCGATAGCGAGGGGAGACGACGAGCAGGAGCGAGGGGGCCCCCAACGACGTGTAGGGTCGAAACCTGTGACGCTCCAACCCGTTCGAAACATGCTCAATGACGAACCCTGCGAGTCCTAGCCGCTTCGTCAGCAGTTCCCGAGAGCCCGCTATCTGGCTTAGGAGTCATGTAGATATATGGTATACCACAACGGGAGGGACTGCGACGCGCATTCGTCAATAGCCGTGGTGGTGATAGGACGCGCATTCAACAATAGCCGTGTGGCGCACACTAGCGCTCGTGAATCGTGATGTCGCCGGATCGGGCAGCAAACAACGCAGGGCGCCGGATCGGGCAGTAAGTATCGTTTAAGCTCGAGTCAACGCAAACCCTGCTCGCGATGGACGATGCTCTCCAGCCCGACATATATAAAGGAGGGCCGCCAGCCAAGCCCTCCCATTCCAAACCACCATGGCCCTTCCCCCTGATTACGCGCGCTTTCTCGAGAAGCTGACAGAGCTCGGCGCGACACCGCTTCCACCTCTCTTGAACCGCAAGCAGCTTGCAGAGTTCAAGCGCGAGACGAAAGCCAAGCTCGCGGTCGTCAGACAGATTCTCGGTGGAGGACGAGGTGGCGGCGATGGTGGTGGTGGTGGTGGTGGTGAACGGCGGCGGTGGTGGCGGTGCCGGACCCGCACCTGGACGCATCGGGCGCATCGGACATGTGCCCCGCCCCGCTCCTGACTCTGCCGACGCACGCTTGCAAACGATCCGCGCACAGGGTATCCTCTTCCCTCGCGACATTGCCGATGTCTGGAGCGTCGCCACCAACAATGCGCCCCAACCTGCGCAGCTCAGCCGAGTTTCACGAATCGACTATCATGAAAACATGCAAAACAGCGACACCAGCAAGGTTCGAACTTGCGTCCCCAAAGGGGATGAGATATTGAAATCATTCAAGTCTCACACCTTAACCACTCGGTCATAGTGCCTTGGATGAGGGAGATGTGCATGTGCCTACAGCCTGAGTCAACTATTGTGGGACAATGCAGGTTCGGCTATGACAATGTCATAGCCAAAAACGAAGGTGGGCGGAGGAGGGGATGAGATGTTGAATAATTCAAGTCTCACGCCTTAACCACTCGGCCATTGTGCCTTCGCAATTGAACTGCCGTTATTCTCGTTCATGTTTGCATCTGCGTCCATACCTACACACCCGCGCACCAAGTTCTTCAAGGTCAGATGCAGACGAGAATTCAATATTGAATATTCAATATCGGTCACAGTGATAACTTGAGCACGGTTGTGCCACCGAGGCTAGCCAATAAAGTCAAGCCAGCTTGAGTCACAATTGCAGTGCTTGCTCCGGCAGGTCGACCCAGGCTTGACGGTGACCTCAACTTGACCGCGGCGCGATCACAGATGTGGACCCACAAAGGCAAGAGGGAACGTGTACATAGGACGTCTGGAGACATCATCTCTCAAAGTCACAGGCTTTGAGCGGCGCCGCTGGCAGATGATGCCGCTACAGTTGTACACCTGACAGTCGACGACGCAATCAATATGAAGAGAGGGACTTGTTTGGCCACATCAGCCTCACCGTTCTCTACCTTTCAAGTTTAAGAGTCTGGTGCGCTGTCGATTCGCCTCGAGGCGAGAAAGGTCACAGTCCGGGCCAGTGGGAAAGCCTGGAGAGGTGGACCGGCTCAGAGCAGACCATAGTTGTGCAGCAGCAGTGCTTGTGTCCGGGTGCTATTGAGCCACATTTGCGTCCCACCATCAGGGGGTACACATAATAGACGCCGAGTCGTGGCATCGCGAGTGAATGGAAGGCGTCTTCGACGAATGCAAAGTTCGATTCAACTTAGACGGCCCGGCGTAAAATGTCCCAGAAAGGAGATTCGGCACGGTCCGTACCGCCGAAGTCACGCACAGACCCGCGGCGGACCCACGACTTTTTCAGATCACAGCCACGGGCCACTGGCCACCGCTCTGCCAACATCCGCAGCTCTTATCTTGCCCTGGAGTTACAAAAGGGTACTCCAGAGAGCTCGGTCTATACTGGCTCTACAGCACTTGCGCGTAGGGTGGCTGGCTGGCCATGTCACTCATCTATCTCCCCATTGTTCACTCAAAGGCAGACGAAGCGCGTGACTATAACGACCCCAACTGCAGCGCATTTGATGCGCTCGACGCAGGATACGACCCCTCTACGGATCCACATCATAATCCGCAGTGGGACGCGAGGTTCGACGCCTACGACGCGTCAGGCTTCCCCATACACCCCCGCCCGAACGCCGTATCCTATGACCGACGCGCTTCGGATGACGAGCGGCAGCCCAGCAGCAGCAGCAGCGACTCGGAGAGCAGCGTACATGGGTGGGGCGAAACCAGCACCAGCGCTGAGGGACCGCGCCGGCGACGCAGGTGTGTGCCACAGACGCGTAGATCGGGTATAAGTCACTCATTGTCCTTTCAGGAAGCACAAGACGTGCACCCTCCGCCCAGCCCAATGGGAGCCACGACCTTCTGAAGTATCGCGTGAGACAATGGCCGAGCTGTTCGCACCCAAGGTCGAGCCCGAGATCGTCCTACCTCCGTCGCCTCCACCAAATTCCATCCCGCCCTTATTCCATAAGTTTCGATTCAAGACGGCCCCAGGCAAGAGGGAGAAAACCCCAAAGCCCCCCAGACCGTCCAGGGCAGCATACCCAGGAACGCATGGCTTGACCAAGGCCAAGCGCACTGCTGCTCCCAAGAACGCGGCGAAGGTTAAACCCTCGCTTCATGAGACGTTCGTGCACGTCTACAATCCATGCGAGCCTCTGCGGAATCCTCCAGTACCTCAGCCTCTGCCTCCCGTACCTCCACCCTCAGCGTCTCTACCGCAGGACCCTGATCCCGCCCCGGACACGCCAATTTCACTGGTGCTGCCACCGAATCTCAACGTGCCGGTCGTGGAGCTACCTGTGGATATCGACGCCATTGCGCGGATGTACAGACTTACCGTCGAGCAGTGCACCGTTGTGCGACTACAGGTGACAGTGACTTGCATGTGTTCTTCGCTCGAGCCGTCCCATGCGCAGGTGTCAGATGCGGTGCGCAAACCAGGGTCGGGGGAGGGGACAGCAGTACTCATTCCTGCGCGCGCGCAGGATGAGAGCGTAGTTGCTAGCGAGCAAGGATCCACTGGTCCGCCGCGGGGAGAGAGCGCCGATCCTCAGCCTGACACGGGGGTACGGTCGTCAACGGAGGTCGTCACGTCGAAAGAGAGCCTGCCTACAAGTTCAACGCCGAATGGCACTACGAATAGGGCGCCGGTCCTCAACAGTGAGGGCCTGTACTCCTTCACGACGGACCAGATGGACGTGGATGTACAGCCTCGCCAGCAGGGTCAAGACATGTGCGCGGATACTATGCCTGTAACATACAGCGAGTCTGCTATGCAAAAGGCGCCCATGGCCGCAGGGCCGTCATCTCCATGCACGAACACTTCACAGCCGCCGCCGCTCGCGCCGCTCTCCATACCTCAGCGAAGCAACATGTTCGCACAGGATCAATCGACCAGCGCCTCTGGCTCGCAGTATATGAGTCCTTTGCTAGAGCCCAGCAGTCCACAGGACGCCGTGACGACCGTCATGCCGCAGGACATCGACCCCAGCCTTTGGATGGAGCCGCCGCCTATGTCGGGAGATGGGGATGTGGACATGTCTCCACCACCGAGCCCCGTCATTCGCAGTGGCACAATGTCTACCAACCCTGACCTTTACCGCACGTCCACGCACCAACCACCGTACACCCATGATCCATCTCCTCCTATACCTCAGACCTATCAGTATCCGCCGGTTCCGGCTCCCCAACATGATCCTCCTTCGGTGCCCGACCATCCACCCTTAATGCCCCATTCTATATTCAACCTTCCCGCTCCCGACATGTACCCTCAACCTACGCCCCTTATACCAATCCAACCCACACCGAAGATGAACTCCATGATGTTCGAGTTTACTGGTATCACCGAGCCACGGTCACCCCCTCCGTCACCGCCCCCTCCTCCGATGAATCCACAATCGCTCGAGTTCTACGAGCACCACAAGATACCCGAACCACCAACGCTCCGTTGGCGACAGCCGCGGGGGCCACCACTGGGCCAAGAGTCTCCACCTCTCCAATCCGACTTTGCCGCTGACTCGTCGGTCGCGCCTGGAACCTTCATTTCGTCTCCCCTAGCCCAATCTCTGTCTGCATCCTCTGGTCTGCCTGTCCCCTCTGCTGCACCTGTACCGCCCGCACCGTCTGCGCCGCCGCGATGCTGGCGCCCGCCGATCGCGTCGCTGTCAGGGCCGATAGCGCCCGAAGCACAGACGATGGTGACGTGGCGCCTCCAGCCGTCAGCGCAGGTGCAGCGTAAGAACGCTGCCTCGAAAGCGAAGACGAAGAACGTGACTGGGCCAAAGCCGCCCAGGAAGTCGACGAAGAAACTGTGCGGGTTTAGGTCGTGCGCGTCCGCGGAGCCGCAGAGCGCCCGGCCCGACCCTGATATGGACGAAGCTGCGGCGGCGCTGTTCGATCATGTACAGGCGAGTTGTGTATCATCGGATGCGCCATCATTACGACTGAATGTCGTCGTATCGTAGATGCATGCATGGGCGAGCGTGAACATGCGCTGTCCCTGGCGCGCGTGCGCCTACAGATTCCAGGGCAAGACCAACGGGTTCTCGAACTTGCGAAAGCATCTGCTGACGCACTGGAAGGTGAGCGTTGCACTATCCTCCTAGTACGACGCTGACCACCACGCAGACGCGCTCCGGAACCGTCTGCCCGTTGTGCTTCAACCCTATCACCGTGAATGGTCCACTGTCGCTCGCGCGGCACTATGCCAGCGGATGGTGAGTAGGGCCGCCGTCAAGTGCGACTTATCTGATGCGATTGGCTGGCAGGTGCAATGCCCTCCAAGAGATTGCGATTGAGCGCAGGCTCCCTGTGCCGGCACGCGCCCTTGACTATTCGCACGATGAGGATACCATCCCGCCCGTGCCCGTGCCAGAGTACGGCAGCCAACAGTACTGATGAGAAAGTGGCCCGGCATGATCGTCCATCCGTTTTTGTCCTGCCATCGGATCCCCACATACCCTACTTCTGTCCCCTTTTACTCCTGGATCCTTCAATGTGTTGCCGCGTATCTGTTCATATCTCATCTTTGTATATCGTTCCGTACTCACTCATAGATTGTGATTGTATCTACTAGACTAAATGTACCGTACTCGTTGGTGGACTTATAATGACTATACTGACTGCTTCCTATCTACCCCTCATGGCGTCGAGAATGAGCTTCAAGCGCATCTAGAGCTGCAGCAGATTCAAGACAATGGGCAGTCGTTCTCATCGGCCCTTGACGATATCGTTGGTCTTGTAGCTTGGGCTCCCCGATACCGTCAAAAGAAACCCAATAAGTAGCTTTCCCGCGTCGCGGTGTGTCACTGTGGGTCCACTTCGGCAATTGCCGAAGCTAGAGTGACGTGTAAGTCTACCCCAAGTTGAACTCGAGCTTCGCAATGTTCTTCAAGGAATCTACTGTGTCCGCTCTATACATCCAACGATCTCTGTTGGACTGCGATCCTCTCCCTCGTTGCTGGCAGCTCTGGAAATTAAGTAGAAGTTGACTCCGGCGATGCGCTGGCGGCGACAAAATTCCTTGAACTCACGGGCAGCGACCCCGACACCCCTCAAGCTTCAAGCTTCAAGTTCCAGCACGTAGACGACGAGGCCAGGCCATGCCTCTCGACCGCGGTGATCGATTGTTTGCTCCCAGTGACAGCGTGATGAGCGCTCGGCCCTCGCGCTCAGGAGTCGGCCGGCCCTCCTCTGTGATCACGGAGGCGGAGTGTATTGACATGGCGCCGGCATTGCATGGCAGGGAAGTACAGGACGCCCTGCTTAACTTCTACCATGCCCGGGATCACGCCAGAAGCGACGGACGCGTACATAACAGGCGACGAGACCGCCTTTATCAGCTTGCAGGTACGCCCTTGCTATCGCCGTCCCCGCTCGTCCAACCTGATACGTGTTTAAGAACCGGTACCAGGACACGCCCAGCTCACCAGTGCCCTCCTCTTACGCCGCCATGGATACCCCGACAGCCAGCACCCCAATGCTCAC